AATTATGATGCCTGTAAGGGAAAGTAGCCAACAAAACAATTTTTACCCATCACATCCCAAATCGCCTTTTTCCATATCGGTGTCTGTGCGTCCAAATTTTTCCCAGCTTTGGTTGGTTGACTTTCTAACAGCAAAGTTCTTGTGAACCGGTTACTCCCAAATGACTGAGCTACTTTACCTTCATTTCTTCGAAGAATCTGTTGTATTATTCAACTGAATGAGCCAAAAACGAGGTGGCTTTCTTTTTCTGGTTCACTGTTCTCTAGTTTGATGTCAACTTACAGATAGCTTTGTCTGTTTTTAAGTCCTTATTACATACTTGCATAGAAATTACTCAATTCAGTTACAAGAGATGCATTCATAGAAAGCGAGTTGGAATGATAACAGACTGAACACGGGATGATCACAAGACAAACACCAGTGCCCATTATGATCGGCCTGAAAACTGAGAACTAACAAAGCTGTTTACTGCATTTTCAAGACTTTTCACACCAACTTCGCTTTGGAGGAAGAAGCCACTTACACAACCGCAGACACACTTCATACCAGTTATTGGTCATGGTATAGTGTCGCCCCCCCCCCCCCCGCCACAGAATTGGCAGTCGATACTGAACGGAATGCCCCATAATCTGGATGTCACACTGTGGCGGGTTGTTATGCTATGTTCACAGAGGTACGACAGTGAAACATGGACACTCTACAAATGATCCATCAAGATTTTCGACGGATTTTACCTACAATGTCCACGCAAAGTCCTAATCGAATATCCAGCACTGAAATTTTCTAAGCCAGCAGAAATCAGTACACCATGAACATAGCAACCTAAGCCAAGTAAAACAGGTGGCCGGTAACTGGTTGCCTAAACAATTTACCGGCGATTAACCGAAGAACTCGAACTCGACAGAAACCGAAATGCCGCTAAAGCCCAGGCATCCAGGTAATCTTGGAAAAGATCGATACTTGACAGAGCAACCTGGCTCACTGCTATTTGCACGGCCTTGAAAAGATTCAAAGCACCAATCGTCGTATTGTTCAAGCGCGAGTAGAGCGTTCGAAAGTGACGTTCTGCGTTGACTACAGCTGAAGCCATATGGACTTGTGTAGCTTTGAATGCAGTAATCACTTCATCTCCAAACAAGTACACATTTATAAATGTCGATCTGTTTACGGCTTCTTTATTGGACAGGTCCCAGATAGTGTATACCTTTATTTCATATGTACATCTGTACAACAGATCCTCTTCTTATGTCATGGTTTTCTATGGAGGAAAACGTTGGTAGTTCAAGTAGCCTAGATGGTCGTTGGATTGTTCGCTGAGCTGAGCAATTCGATTGCAAACATTTCATCCCCAGTCGAGGTGACTTCATCAGTGGTCAGCTCAGCGAACAAGCCAACCACCATATCGTAATTTATTTGCTGTGAAGTTTACAATGCACAATCAACTGAATACTGTTTGGGACCGATTGTGTAGCCATCGTTTCAGAGAGGTTTGGTAAACAATAAATCAACCGATTGTTTACCAAACCTCTCTTTTCGTTCGCCCTACTTTCATGTTCAGTGTTGTGGTTGTACGCGGATTTAAGCAGCATATATTTTCTATGTTCCAGCTATACATAATTGAAGTAACATTGCTCATCGACTCCTGTCAAGTCAATTTGACGGCTCTGTACCACCGGACGGTGAGTCCGTTTATTTGGGTACTCACTGTTCCGTTCCCTCTATCTTTTGCCTATCATGTGATCATATGTTTACAATTGATACTATTTGACAGATTTCGGTGTGCCTTCTGTGTAAATTTATTAAACCCATATTTCGTGGTACTCAGTGCTGGTGTTCCTCAGCCATTTAAGTTCCATCTACTACAACTTTATCATTCATTTCTTTGTTCCACTGCTGTGAACAAGCAACAACATCATTTCTGATGCACTTTACCGACGTGTTTTAGTTGGTTTTGCGAACGTGCTCCTACATGTCAGTATAAGAGCTGCTTGAGGTTCGCTGAAGACGATACCGAACGTAATCGCTTGGATGAATATTAACTTGGATTACGGTTAATTGAACCCTTAACAGAAATACTAGATACAGCCTGTTGCAATATGTACAGTCCCGGGACTGGAGCGCATCGCGTTTGACGGAACGTAATTGATTATGATATTGGCTATTTTGTTGGGAACCGGACTCGATCGGGCGCACTACGGACAAAAACGTTTTCCTTGTACATTTAAGTCCTTACTGAAGCAAAGCTTGCTTTGTCTAAGTTTGAAAAATCTTACACACTGATGGTTGGTCTGTAGACAAAATAACGGAAAGCCATTGTGGTTTCCTAACTACTTTATCGCACTGAAAAAAAACGCAAAGTATTTATCTACCCAATATGGGTGTAAATTTCGACTTATACACTCATTTGCAGACCAAGTTGGTTTTGACGGGAAACTCACCAGGAACCTAGCTGAATCTTGCGTTCATGATGTTCTTCTCAGGTGTGAATTAGTGATGGATGCCTACAATACAGACAGACTCATTTGAACTGCCGGCGACATCAAGTAGCATATAATCCTGAGAAGATCTGTTCAGGCTCGAATCTGTCGATGTCGCTGTCCAGGCAGGGCAACGTAATATTTGTACGTTCGGCGATATCGGCAACACATCTGGATTTGTAACTACAATTATCAGTTGATATTATGCTCCCAACGACATCAGTATGCATCGAAGTTCCAGGCGTGCTTAGATCGACAAAGCAATCTCACCACTCCGTTTAATATCTTTCAGAACAACCTTGGGTTGAATATTATCTCATATTTGTCTTAGACGAATTTTTCACTGCCAAGCTAGATGTCCCTTTCCCACCCACACAAATACTCTCCAGGCATTGTTTCACCGAAGATCCTATTGCGAAGCTTTTATGCCGTATTAATTTCACAGAAATTTGTTCTGGCATTATATCGACTCTTAAATCGCTCAGCAGCGCGGACAGACATTTCAGTGAACCCCTTTTAGATGCCAAATAACGACGTGACGCACTGAATGTGCATGATCTTCACTAGTGACGTTTCGCTGGGGTGGCGCACACCTAGAGTCAGCTAAGTTGAAATAAAAATGACAACTACTACCACATTTTTCACGATGTTACGTAATATAGACCTGTCTCATTGTTTTTAGTGGAGCTATTCGTTCGATCACTTGTTCCTTTATTGTTTTGGGCGGTCAGCCGAACAAGCGAATTCCTACTCTTTGGGTTCCTCTGGCCATATTTATTGCGATCAAGTTCATTGTCAGATCCGTGCCGATATCATCCATCAAATGGAAGGACAACAAACCAATGCATTCGCGTTAGTCCTGGATAAGGGTATGATCGAGATTATGAAAGACTTGGTTCCCTGATCATTAGAAGAGCATACAGGAATTGGAAAAATACTTTAGCCAAGAAGCTTCATGTGATTTTAGGCAGGATTCTTCGGTGGTTGTAGTCAGGGTGGACTCCTAACCTGTTCAAATACATTTGGATCTCAGCCCTCCCACCTTAGAGTACCGCCTGTAGTCCACTAAGCTTCTATATCGATGGAGGCGCATTTGACCTTCATTCATTTGCCTTCATCTTCCTAGACATTAGAAGCATCCAGAAGGCATTCCATTCTCTACAGATCACTATTTAGCACACAGTTCATTTCCAACAACAATGCGGTAACAGAGGGTCCACCGTGAACTGAGTAAGTATGTGAACTTTCGCTTGAAATCGCCTTCTTCTGGGTAAATTGTACACTAATTATTAACTGGCAAAGAACGCTTTTGCATGTTATCTAGGGATTCACTTGTCTTTGGAGGGTTTCTCTGCAATGAGTGCATGTTTAAGCGAAACGAAACTCATCGATGCCATCTTCAGTGCCAATAGCTCCAAAATAATAAGTGATTCTGAAATTAGATTCGCGAGCGACTAACACATTGAGAAAATCTTTTAATTTTTATTATTAAACGCGGTAGTCCAGTAGTTGAGCTAAGGCGCAAGTACGAATCCCGTTGTTCATGGTTCTTCATTTACTCACAATTGCTGAGTCACACTTTTGAGAGATTATGACTTGCCACTAGCTTCTACAAAATTACCGGAGCTAATCGTGGCCAGAAAGTGAATTTGGGCATCTTTTAATCAAGAACAGTTGCTAGCAAATTGATCGATATCCTTCTCCTATGAAGCCCGAAATACCGATGCGTTGTGAACTGAAAGTTGTGCTCCACTCAGAGAGGCAAGCTTCCGGAGCGTCCACTCATCGTGAGACAACACGTTTCCTTAGTCTCTTCTGGTCAATAACCGCCTTTTGCCTACTTGAAACTTCTTGAACGTGTTAATTGGATGGAGGGAGCATTGCATCCAAACCGATTGCCTAACGTTAATGAGTTATAAACGAAGGATTCATTCGAGTTTCCTGTGAAAACCCAGTTGACATGCAAGCGAGTATATTTGTCGAGTTATAAGACTGTCAATTTTTGACTGGTTGTTTTGGTTCCGATGACCTCGGGAAACCATGGATTTGCGCTGCCAAACCAATCAACACATAAAGCAGTCGGTAAATCAACATGTTGGATCTTGTATTAGGCACGAAGGAACAACGATCAGACTACGACTCGCTACGTCATTTCTCGTGGTCGAGACTGAAACCATTAATTGTTTTGATCTTATGTAACTTGACCGCTTAGTCTTGAACGACTGTCAGATGACTAAACCATAAGATTCTAACTGCTACTTTCCTCTTTATCGGGAGCCGTCTGTATGTATGGTTGATTCGTAGTTTTTTGAAGACTAATGACAGTGCTTAGCTGTAGGCCTCATAAGGTTCAATACCCGACTCCCTATAAGCTACATCCCTTGAGAACAGACTGCGTAGGTCTTCGGAGAGGTATATTAATGGGTTATTGGGATTCAGATAAGGACTGAGAACACTGATCGTATTTGTGGTAGATGAGAGGCTTAATTGTTCCTGCAACATTTGTTCCATTAACCGCCTGACAGAGGATACTTCACCTCGTTTCCTTCTGCTTACCAACCGTACTGATACAGAACACTTAGTATTGCCGTAAAACGGGTGAGAAGACAGTTCATCGTATATTCTTATTGCATAAATTGGTTCTGTTCAATCCATAAGCATTATCAGGTTATTTCACGGGAAGGAAAGGGTTGCAAATTAGCGAACTCGGTTCATGTTCTAATAACCGGTCAAACAATGTTTCATATGTGTTGTTCGTCATCATCAAACTCCCAGTCTTGCATATCTGCGACAAGGTACGGTACGTGTATCTCACTCAAATACTGCTCTGATAAGTAGCGACGTCTTGTATTCTGACCAGAGAATATTTGGGTATCATAATGCTGGTACAACGAATGGGATGTAATGGTGGACAGGTGGACATCAGATCGAGCTCGAAGACTTTCCTGTGTTCGCTTCCGTGTAGAGCGTCTTGATCGCTTTCGATATTCAATATAGTCTATCTCATCATCCTCAGTCACCGTTTCAACTCTATACTGAGGTTGTTCGTATTCCACTTGAGCGGTCGTAGGCGGTGGTTTCATTATTTGGGCATTTGGCACAACCAAGTGATCGTACGTGGCTAGAATAACGGGAGTGAACTGAGAATCTGTTGCAAGTAGTGGAATAGTCCATTCGCTTGGATGCACCTCAGCCTGAAGTCTCAACCAGCCTGCTTTACGTGCTGTGAGCAATGAACACCACTTGGTTGTATTATAGTACCGGGTGGTTTCATCAGATTGTTCGTACCAATCGTAAATTGGGAGATCTGGTCTGCCTGCCCATTCAGCAGCGACTTCTCCGGTACTCCAGTTGAATAAACCTAGGCTTGCAGCATCTTCCGGATCTAGCCACTCACTGGGCTCACCACCCGGCCGAACTGCGGTGATTCGGAAGACTCGCACAGTATGTGTTCCTTCTGCGACCTCTTCATCTTCTGTAGGGTCAATCGCCTCTAGCTCGATGATGCCTCTACCGGCTGCCTCCTCTGGCGATATCCACGTGTTGTCTTCACGGTTCAAAATGACTGGTTCATCGCTTGAAATGTCAATATAACCCAGGAGCCGTGCTTCATTTATACTAAGTTCTATCTGGTTAAGCGTGTCGGTGTAACTGATAATTCTGACGGGACGCCAGGTGTAGGAGATTCGTTCGACCAGCAGTAAGCATCGCCTTCCACCCCCATTCTCGATCTCGTACGGCTGTTCTCCAACATTAAGTGTCACCAATCCCTCGGCTTCGGCTGTCTCCAATCGCATTGGAAGGTCGGTTCCTGGGTCTATATAGATCTCCGTATCTATGGGTTTGAGCCATCCAGAGCGTACTGCAGTTCCAACTGGAGTTCGAAAGCCGGTTCGAGGACTAGCCACTTCTTGAATGTGTGTAGACCAGTAGGACTCATCTTTTATGCGTCCTTCTACCAGCTGATATTGCACTGTGCGTTCACGAACTTGACAGAGCACTGACTCACTGTGGAAAAATGAATGGAACAGGAGTGGTTCATTGACTACTGTTTGAATGCTGTCAGGGGGAAGTTAGATACATATGTGCATGCAAACGTCGCACGAAAAAAAGATATGGACATGTAGGTGGTTGCGGGAGTCGTAAAATGCACATACACATCAATCTTGTTTGAACAGTCCTCCTGTTCTAGCGCAATTATTCTGGTGACTGCACTAAATTGGGAAGCACTGGACTCGATTTTCGCTTTCATTAAAGACCATCGGCAGTGCATATCCTTCTCTATGCCATAGTTTGGACTCCGGATACTTGACGTGCGAGGCGAGCGTGTTAACACTACGCCACAAACGCACACGGTACGCATCCGGGTTCTCACTGGTGAACAGGCGAACATGTTCGCACTCGAGAAATGTGATTGGTTTGTCCGACGGATCGAGCGACAACCCAGTAACTAGCCTGGTTGTGTCAATCGCTCGATCCGCCTGTCCGGACTTTCCAGTCAGGTCACGGACGCTTGAATTCTGTTGTGCAATGTTGGATGTGATGTAGGTGGTTGCAAAATCTGTGGGATTCATGCTCACATCACTCTTGATTGAAGAGTCGTCTTTCTGTCCTGGCACAACTGTTCTGATAAATCAGATGCGTCCAGCGGGTACTGGTCGAGCAATGGTAACGTGCTTGTGTTGCATGTCACATGCACGAAGTTCAGACCCCGACACCACCAAAGATACGCACTGTTGATGAGCGAAACTTGAGCGCAATGTTCACCCCTTCAGTTTAAGCTCACCAGACTAAGTGCCCCAGGACAGGGGAACGAGAGTGAACTGAACATAAATATACGCATGTTGCGTGGATTTTTTTTAACACTTCCCTGTCCTCTGTTGGTGAAGAGAAGAAAGGTCACGGTGATCAGAGAAGTCGACAGGATCTTCACAGACAACGTTGAGAAAATTGGGTCTAAATATGCGGTAATCTCTACGACGAAGGAAAGAGTAAGTGTCGAGACTTTAGTACTGGTTTAGTTTGCAACAGAACACGGTAAACACTAATCCACGTTTCACATAAGTGTCATGGCTAACCCACTGCTGTTTTTTTCGTAAACTATAAGCCTCATCGAATGCATATTTGTGTCCAGATGGCTGTATGGTCTTCAAAGTTTGAAAATATAACCGCCGTACAAACTGCTCCAGTTGTGTTGGGTCCAATCTTCAGAATCATGTAAAATTGATGCCTGGAACGACACATGAGGACACACTTCCGGTCTCCAAAGATGCTATTACTATTTCCCTAATCGTCAAAATACGATTGTTTCTAGTTTATTTTAGATGACCTCAATCTTGTTCAAACTCATGTGAGAATTTTCCACTAATCAATGACACTGAAACAGGATTTAGTCATCAGATCAACTTACACTTCAATCGTCTGCCTGGCTTCGTAGTCTGTAATGCTTTGTAGTGGAGTCTCTTCCTGCATGTGCTCACTTCGTAAATCCACGCTGAGACTGGAATCCTCAGTAGTTTCCTGTTGTTTGGTTTTCTCGTATATCAGTTTCGTAGTTGCCTCGCTTACTTCTTCCACCCACCAATCAGTTTGGATAGACTGGTTAACCATGATGCACCGCGCTTCTGATTGCAGTCCCCATCCAATGGTTTGACAAGCTTTCGTGGAGGTTGTGGCCATGACGGTCACAGAGGTTTCGGCTATGCGCCCAAGTCTGAAATTTCGCTGGTAATCCTCTATTGTGGATAAATAATGGGCTTCCGTTGAAACGAGGCATACTTGAATTCCAACCTCAGCTTGTTGTGCTACGGAAGGCATAAACATGGTCGCGATCTCACGGCTGTTTTTTCTTCTAGCGTCACACGCGGTTTGTATATGACATACAGTTGAGTGAACCCTGGGTGTATCCTGTTTCTTTGACAAAGACGTACCAGAATCCACCGGTGACGAACGGTGAAATGAAGCCGATTCACACAAGATTTGGGAAAAACTTTTGGTTTCCAAGACAAACCCAAAACTTGAAAGAATCTCGGCCAAGTCACTAGAAGATATATATCGCCCACTGCTTTGTGTGATTAGTTCGGTGAGGTAAAATTCCAGCGGCTGAGATTCAACCTGCGTAAAGGAATCTGTGGTATTCCTACAGCATTCCATTAAGTAAATAAAACTTTCGGCACGAGAAGCTGAAAAAGGCGGGGCAACAACAAACTGAGGAGAGTCAGCGACCGGTGCAAGAAACTCCAACACACGAGAGATGAGAAAAGGGTCCCGAAAAATGAAATCAGATGACGAATCACAAATAAGAGGAATGGCTTTCTTTGTTGGTGTTTGTTGCTG